TAGTAAATAAGTCAACAGGAAGATCCTGACTCGGTATAATGTATGACAGGTGCTAAACAATGCATTGTTTGTTTAACTGAAGAAGAGAAAATAGACCTGAGAGGGCAAAAAGCTGGAATTAGTCTCAGTTTGGTTAAAAAAGAGAAAAAGAAAATGATGATGATTTCAATTTTTTAAGTCAGAATTTAACATTTTCTCACTGTAAAGAATTGTTAAATCAAATTAGTAAAAAAACCCTCAAATTTATACCTGTTAGCTTAAGATTTTTAAGTTCGCTAACCATGCTAAATGATTGGCTGAAAGCGATAGGTGTATAGTTATGGACTGTAGAATTAGCTAAAATTAAATGGATAAATTGTTTGCTGAAAGAAACAAATAGCTGAGAGCAGTTAATAGATTGTTCAATATTTTTAATTGCTAAAAATTTAAAAAAAGATATTTATCAATATCCAAAAGTAGCTAACAGCGTAAAGTCATCTATAAGTAGTGGCAAAGATATTTAAAAGTAGCTTCAACATAATGGTTAAAAAGAAATAATAGACGAAGGGTTAACTGTAAATGCTTAAAGTTGTTTGCTAAAAGTAATGGAGATATGTTTAAAATGTTAGGGTGAAACGGTGGTGGCATAATAGCAAATCTGGTAATAAATGCATGGCTATATTATGTTTTTAGGGATGTAGAAATACCTATGCAAACTGTGAAAATCTATAAAGAAAATAAAAGTTCACTGTGACTGTAACAGTAAAGCCTCAGTCACATTAGATTGTGACGAGGAAGAATCAGTGATTTCCAGGTAACTGCATTGGATTTATTTATTTTTTTTACAGTTGTTGACAGATTGGTCTCCCAATCAATAGGCAACAAGATCTCAAGTCGCACTAATTGTTGCAGTAATTTTGTTCACTCTGTGGTGTTCGACCACTGTTATCCTTACGTGGCTCAATCACTCAGGTTCTCCTTCTAAATGACTGTAGTATGAACGATAACTTAAACACAGCCTAACTGTTGAATTTTGTGAAAAATGTTAAAATATTGACTGATATTGATTAAAAACTTTTTCGTGAAGCATGAAATCAAATGAACGTATTTGGACAGCCTTCAGAAGATGATTTGATCATAAGCTATCATGCCTGTTCAGAGCAGCGGTGACTGCGGCTCATCAGTTTTCACTGTCTCTCTGCAGGCCTGACGTGTACGGAGCAGAACTTCATCACCAAAGCCGGCAGTCAGCTCGGTGCTGCGGAGCACGGCATCATCATCGTAGCTCCAGACACCAGCCCCCGTAAGTTCACCATCTGATAGTAAGCACCTCAGCACGAGTGCGCTTACGTCTTTGTGCTGATTCCCACGGTTTGTTTTGAAGTCTTGATTCTGCTCAGTGAAATCTCTATGAAGGTTATGGTGGGGCTTCAGCATCTTTAGAGCTTTTGTGACTGACCAACCATGTGTCATCCCTCCTAAGGTGGCTGCAACATCGAAGGCGAAGATGAGAGCTGGGATTTTGGCACTGGTGCTGGTTTCTACGTCAACGCCACCCAGGACCCATGGAAGACCAACTACCGCATGTATGCCTACGTCACCGAGGAGGTATGACGGATTTAAGTCTTCCACGTCCAGCAACACCTGTTTTTCCTAAAGCTCCTGTGATTTAAATAGTCTGCCTCGTCTCTGTCAGCTCCCTAAACTGATCAACGCTAACTTCCCCACCGACCCAGAGAAGATGTCCATCTCTGGCCACTCAATGGGCGGCCACGGGGCGCTCATCTGTGCCCTGAAGAACCCGGGGAAATACAAGGTACTGTACTATTCACTTGTACAAGAGAAAAGGCTTCATTAATGAGGGCAATTGGTTCATCTCTATAATCTCTAATAGATTTAAATTAGCTTTCATTTTTATTTTGTTTTTTAATCATAAATAACATTTCCTGTCATTAATTTGTCAGTCTGCTTCTGCTATGCCTTTTAATAATTTTTGTTATGTGCCAGGGATAATGAAAAGTTGTGAACTGTGTATGTCATTTTGACTGTTCCAATTATCAGACAGATTAAATTAAACGTTTTAAGTGTATCTGGACACACTAATTGAAATATTCCACATCTACACACAACATGTTTGCTAACGACTCTGACTTCAGTCTAATTGAAGTAAAGCTGCGTAAACGCTGGAAGCAATCTGCTCGTTAACGACCATTTCTTTTTTTTTTCCTTGATAAAAATGGTGCAAAAAACGAACGCATAAGGACAAAAACTGTGATGAAAATCAGAGCTAATGAAGATGTGTAGATAGGCTCAGATAGACGGGATTATACAGGCGATTGCATTTATTAAATTTTCAATTTTATAAAGTGCCAAATCACAACATTTGTTGCCATCAAGGCACTTTATACTGTGAGGTAAAGAGCCGAGAATCAAAGAGACGTAAGGTGTGGTGGATTCTTTGGTTGTATGAGATTTGGTTTTCATGTCTCAATTGCTCAGTTATGTAGTTTGCCCAAGTACTCTTTTAAAAAGCCAACACCAGTGAAACTAGTAAATCATTTTTCTTTATCAGATTTGTTTCATTAAAACTTCAGGAATCTCTGTGGAAACATTTTATTGTCACAAAATATCACATCACCAGAACTCTTGCATCCTGTCAGCCTCGGCTGTCCTCTCTCTTCACTTTCCATCAGTAGAAACACATTCTGAATAACTGAAAGATGCTGATAGATCCTGATGTGTCTCCTGCAGGCTGTGTCTGCATTCGCTCCCATCTGTAACCCGATGCAGTGTCCCTGGGGACAGAAAGCTTTCTCAGGATACCTGGGCCCTGATAGGTCAACATGGGAGGTAAGAGCACTGAAGTTAGTGGCCAAAGAACCTACTAAAACATGACCCCTAAGCTGCTGGATGAAGAGTCAATGAGAGTTTCAACGAGGAGAGTTTGGCCACCAGAGCAGAAGAAACGGGTGATAATGGAGCATGATCATGTGACTTATGCAACTCGTCATTATTTCTTTCAGGCGTACGACGCTACCGTGTTGGCAGCTTCGTATTCCGGTCCTCAGCTCGACATCCTCATTGATCAAGGCAGAGACGACCAGTTCCTGTCAGCTAGCCAGCTTCTGCCCGACAACCTGATCGCTGTCTGCTCCGAGAAGAAAATCCCTGTCGTCTTCAGGCTGCAGCCGGTCAGTTCCTGTAGTCTCTACAAAGTAAAAGCTCTGATTCTTGTCAGAGAAATCAGAAATGTCTTCAAATAAGTCGTAGAGCAGCTGAGAAAATGAAGTTTATTTATTTTTGATCTTCATATTTATGCAACACCTGATCTGTGTCACTGTATGCTGTTTCCTTCTGCAGGGCTATGACCACAGCTACTTCTTCATCTACTCCTTCATGAACGACCACATCAAACACCACGCCAAGTACCTGAATGCCTGAACAGCCAACGCAGTTTGACCCCAGCCAGATCACTCTGACCCTGCTGCCATCATTCACCTTTTCTGTTTCATTTCTCCTCCGACTTCCTGTAGCACTGAGTTCACCCGTTTCTGGGAACTAAACAAAGCATGTCAGCTCACTGACAATTCGTCCCACTTAGAAGCCTTTGTGCCTTCACTGTGAAAAGAAGAGAAACTTCTGTGTTTAGTATTTTTTTGGGGAGGTGTGGTTACAGCCACGTTTCTAATATCAGGAAGTATTCTTGTGACCCGACTGCCAGCATGTGGATTTTCTTCTGGACTCAGAGCGGAGACTGGTCAGTCTTTCATAAGAATAAAATAAAAAAATAAATCTTGCTGATAAATTTTGGTGTTTTGTCTTCATTGCATTGCTGTTGAGTGTTTTTTATTTAAATTTGATTTCTAAAGCACCAACTTTGAACAGTCGACTCAAGAAGCTTTATATTGGAAGGTAAAGACAGTAATACAGAAGGAACCCCAACCACCAGATGAACCAGCACTTGGTGACAGTGGGAAAGAAAAACTCCAGAACCAGGCTCAGGGAGGGGCCGCCATCTGCTGCATTTGATTGGGGGAGAGAATAAAAGACACTCTGTGGAAGAGAGGCAGTTTTAGTAATTATTAGTGATTAAATGCAAAGTGGTGTATAAGCACAGATTAAAATAAGGTGAGTGAAGAAGCAGCAGCCTGGGTCAAGCAGTGTAATGAAGGTTCACCTGATCCATCAGCAATACCAACCGGGAACGTTTTAAGGCTAATCTTAAGTGGGTGCCTGCAAGTCAGCAGTCTGAGAGTGTAGCGCTCTATTGGGGTAATATGGTACTATGAGGTCTTTAAGATTAGATGGCACTGATTATTTCATCTTTGTGACTGCAGTTATATAATCGGCCCTTAAGACAATTTTAAAGCTTAAAATGAGCTTCAAAGTCAATTCCAGCTTTAAGGGGTTAACATTTCTTTCTTGCATCCTTTGGTCATAAAAACAGTAACAGAAACATCCGTTTGTAGTGATGCATGCTGTTTTTTTAAACTTCAGAATGGCTAATATACATAAAAAAAAAGCTCAAAAATACAGTATATGAAGTTTTCCAAACTTCATGTAAGGACTTACTTTGACATTTTTCCTTTTAATTAAATAAATATTGAGTTCATGTTTTACCATTTAGAGATTTTATTGGGGATATTTCACTGTTTCAAGCCTTTTGGGTTGATTATGTCCTCCTTTATCCTCAATTCATCAAATGGCTGCTCATCTGTCAGCCTGGTTCTGCTGCAAGTCTCTACCTGTTAAAAGTAAAATCTTCCTCCCTACCGTTGCCAAGTGCAACTTAGTGGTTAGCACTGTTGCCTGGTACAAACCCAGACTTGGTCTTTAAGTAAGATGTGCACGTTCTCTAGTACTCTAGTTTCTCCTGCCACCAAGAACCACGCTATATTAATGCTGTCCAGTTTGACCGAGGAGACTCGTTCAATATCAGAAATGATGCATCAATAGAGTCAAATTTTAGAGAAATTCAAGGGAGGAGAAAAAAAACTTATACAAATGAGCCAACAACAGACTTTTGTTTCAGGTGAGGTCTTTACTGATAAAGTGAAATACAGTACAGTATATACAGTATTCACAGCAGTTAAGGCGATGTTACAGGGACTATTCATGCATGTAGATTTGAGTTGCTGTACAACAAAAACTTACACAAAGGTTCACAAAGCGTTACAAAAGGGTATGTTACATCCAAATTTCAACAAACCTGAAAATAAGTCACATAAAAAATAAATGTGCTCCCAGTCAAAGTACAAAAATGTGAGTACAGGCTGTTTCTGGACAATAGATTTGTACAAAAGATGAAACCTTAAAACAAAAACACACACTGCTTTAGGTTCAGCAGGCACACATTTACATATTTTACAACAGCGTCACGTTTGGAACCTTAAAGGATCAGTGTGTAGGATTTAGTGGCATCGCCACTCTTTAGCCCTCTTAAGAGACAGTGTTTGGTTTGTTCCTTCTGATCTCACACTTGATGGTGACCTATAATAACACAAGTAAATATTACATTTCTACTTATAGCTCCCAGTAAACCCCCCACACTGGCCCTTTAACTCTCCATCTCATTTTCAAAGGTGACTTCAGATTTGCTCAGTTGCCAAAACAAAGATATAAATACAAGTTTAAAGTGCAGATTCTGTTGGGGAAGCAGCCAGTTTGGTTTTATTGCTTTTTCCCAAAACGCTGTGACATGATGTGCACAGATCTGTGGAAAATGGCATGATTATGTGAAGAAATGCAGATAGAGATTCAAAATAAGCACGCTGGAATCATCTGGCTCTGTTACTTATGTCACAGCTAAAGCCGACATGCTAATCCTCATAGTGGTAGTTTTCTCACTGTACTGTGTTATATTTAATATTTATTACATTGTTATTAAGAATGTAATAAGTATGTTTCCCTGCATGAATCAACAACTTATTATGGAGTGGAGGGGTATGCATGCCTGCATGATCCCAGGAGCAATGGTAGGGTGAGGGGGACAGGCTAAGAATGATTTAAAACACCCCTACGTAGAAGAAGCCATCAGACCAGTTAACTCAGAGAGAGGGGTTCAGGGGCAGTAGCCGCAGTAGGGGCCCCAGTAGTGATGGCACTCCCAGTAGGGGGTGGCACCCCATTCAGTACTTTGTGGGCTGGTTGAAAGTGAGCAGTAGGGGAACTGGCATCCTGATCCACAGTTGCTAAAGCTCATTGTAGGGATGAATGAGTACATTCTTACCCTGTTCACGAACTCAGGGCAGCAACTGAAGGAACAACATCATTGATACAAGCAGCAGAAATGAGGTTCCTCTGATGGATGTCTGAGCTCTCCCTTAAACACATAACTCCGTCAATCAGAAATCGTCAATCTGAGTAATTTTCCCCCGCAGTCTATGTAAACCAGCTGAGATGATTAGGACATCGGACTAAAATAAGAGATCGTGTCTTTTGACTGGCCTGGGAACCCCTCGGTCTCCCTCTGGATAAGATAGCAGCTGGTAGCAGAGAAGATAGGATCGGTCCTCTTAGACCGCTGCCCCTGTGGCACAGATAAGTGGCAGAAAAATGGATTTATTGATGGAAGAATTATGGTCTGTTTTTGTTTAAACAAACTTAATCTCTAGGTTAAAAAAAAACATTGAGCTTTTTATTTGCTAATGTGAGTGTTTCATGGTGAAATATACAGTACATGAACAAACAAATTCAACAATACAAAAAATCCTTGTGATAAATAATATGTACACAGGCATACAGCACATTTACATTAAATCCTTTATGTTTTATCACAGGAGAGAAAAAGGTTTGTTTTGGCAACTGTCAAATCTATCCAGTGGAAGCATTTATCTATTTATTATGGAGTTCTTTCTAATTACTGCTGAATATTTAAGTAGCTCAAGCTTTGGATTCCAAGCTGCACAGGAAAAAACAACAACAAACAATTAAAAAAAAAAAAAAACAAACCCAAAAATGTAATCCCCCATTCATACAATGTTGTTGAATGTTGCTGTTTCATGTGGTGACATTCTGGCATTTAGGAGGAAAACATAATGTAATGCTTGTTTTAAAGGGGCAGTAAGAAGATTTGGGTTAGCGAATGTCTCAAGTGCAGCCCTTTTTAAAAATCTGGTCTAATGACCATGGTAACTTATGCTAAACATATAACTAACTGGTCATTTATTTTATATCCTGTACATTCCTGGATAAGACTGCAGTAGGCAGTACATGGTTGGTTTATTTTGTGAATAAAAACAGTCAAATCAGGCGTCCCACAGTCACTTTTATGCTAGCACACCCGGAGCCTGAAGCAGAACGCCTGTGTTAACCCAGGACGCTGATAACAGTGTTGTGATATGTGATGACTGTGGTTTCAGGTTTTGCCGAGCCAGCTAATGCAAAGAAAAAGTAGCTTTGTTAAACTTGCTGTATAGCATAAACCTTAGTTTCAGAAACAAGTCCAGCACTTGTCTGACAAGTAAATCTGCCAAACAGTACAACATAACTGTTGTGTATCAATGCAATCACACAGCAGAGGCTGATCAAAGTCCATAATAATGTTATTCAAAATAATACTTCCTACTACCCCTTTAAAATCTCAGTCTGAGCCAGGTCTGCACAACCACATGTTTCAAAAGACCAACCAGCAACTGCCTTGATTTCACACACACCCATGACCACCCACACACACACACACACACACACACACACACACACACACACACACACACACACACACACACACACACACACACACACTGATACTGTTGACGTAGCAGGCTGTGGAATGAAGGGCCAACAGTGTAGTAAACCCAAACCTACCCTGAGTCACACAGTCTCTGATCTCACACACCAACAGCTCTGGCCTAAACCTCAGAGGGTAGAACCAGTTCACTCACGAGCCCCTCATGTGCTCAACTGTTCAGCAGAGGAGCGTTTCATTTTAACATCTTCATATTGACTGCTAAGCAGCAAAAACCTCATTAGACTCAAGTTTTTAAACCTAGGGATGTTTTTTTTAACATAGTGTTTTAAGAGTTTAAAAAAATGGTAGAGTCTTAACTAGCTGAGACTGTCTGAGCTAGGGCGATGGCTACATGAAAATCTCGTCTTCACACACACCTGAAATATAAAAGTCACATACAGTTTCAGGTGGTCTACGAGGCCTGAAGCTCAGACATAGACATATTACTCAACAACAGGCCCCCGGGCGCAGACCCTTTCTACAGTGGAGAATGACATCATCCAGAGCCTCTAGTCTATTACAGTATAATGGGTTTGTTTTTTTGGTCAGTCTGTTTGTCCTCATGGATGTTGTCTATTTGTCGTCTCTTGAAGTCGTTTTGTGTGTATTAGTGCAATGTTTCTCTGTGGTGTTTTTTGCAGTTTCTTTGTAGTCACTTGTTGTGTATACAGTAAGGGTCCTGGCTAGACCGCCCATGCTAAAAAACAAAGCCCTGGAATGGCGTGGCTACGTCTGCAGCCTGTTCGTAGCTCGGACACAAAACATTTCACTGCATGTCGTACTCTGTATGATTGTGTATGTAACAAATAAAGCTTGTTTGTTTGTTTGTGGTTAGTTTCTGTCTCTTTGTTGTTGTGGTGTGACCATCTGTTGTTTTTTATTATCTGTCTCTACAGATGCAGATTCTTAGTTATTGTGTGTCTCTTTGTAGTCATGTTGAGTGTGTTGTGTCTCTTTGCGGGTAGTTTTTGTTTTGTCTGGCTGTAGTCATGTCTCTCTGTAGTTATGAGGAGTCAGTTTTTTTATCTTTTTGTGGGTACTTTTGGTTTTGTTTCTTTGCATTCATTTTTTGTCTCTTTGTAGTTATGGTGAGTCACTGTTATTACCATTTTTTGGTGGGTTGTTTTGTGACCTTTTGTCACTGATTTTTATCTCTTTGTAGTCACCCTGGGTCTGTGTTTTCTTTTTCTTTTTAATGTTCCAGATGAAATTAGCTGATCCCTTCAAATTGGGGCTCTGAGCTGGGCCACCCTGACCGTGGGTCCCTGTAACTGTAGGCCTGTTCAGTAATCCATCCATGACCACAGTGATGCATAATGTTCCCTTGAAACACTGACTGGTTTTTGCTTTTGTTTGTTCATTTGTTCCACTACCACCACATGTTTTGGCACATTAGCAAACTGCATCTCATGACAAATACCACAATAGGAGCTTCACGGACCAAGTCTGAAAACGTTTCCAGGTTCCTTATGTGAGCACTGACTACCAACACGCGTAAAAGGATAGAGGGTAAGAAAATAATCACCTGGAATCCATCAGAAGCTTGAGAAACACAGATTAGTGTCCCCAGACTAACGCACACTCAGACCTGCCTCATGGACGAGCAGACAGCTCCACACAAAGTCATACTACTAAAAATGTATAAAACACATAAAGTTATACCTAAAATATATTAGAGAAAAATATTTTGGCCTTCTTTCTTTTTGACTGTATATAACAACTCAAGCGGATTTTCTCTGCATCTCTTTATATTATAAATAGTTTCGTGTTTAAATACAAACTGCAGGTAAAAGCCGACTCCCTCTACATTAAGACTAAAGTATTTTGGTTTTATTCTTTTCAGGGTAGTGAGAGCAACACACTAATTACTCACACAGTCCAAAAACACTTCACCAGAAACCTCAGTAGGAAAAAAAAAAATCTGTAGAAACATAACTGATAATTTAATAAAAATCATTTGTTAACATGTGCATAGACACCATGATATAACCTGGTGAAGTTGGTGCAACTGCAGTACGCCACAAAGGCTTTGGCTCCAGCCAATCCACTCGCAATTTAGAGTTCAATCGTGGATTTAAAACAACACATTACCAGAGCCACAGTCAGAGAACGAAAACATTGATTTTGAGAACACAGATGCATTTTTTTTAAAGAATATACCAATTAAGTTGTATAAAAAAGAAAGAAAATTGAGGTAAATAATTGAATGGAAGAATTATAAAACCCCCTCCTCCCCAAATTGCAGATTTAAGATTAAAATTATTATTTCAAAAGAATAAATCTATATTTTTTTTATAATATATTATGACACTTTCTAAACTTTGAGCCTTTTCTCTCACGTTATTTGTGATATTTTCCCCAAACTTTTCTGGTTCTACTCTCAAAATCCAATCTCACTTTCTGTCACATTGGTCTTCATGGTTCAAAAGTTTGGTACCAACCAGTGTAAGAAGATGACATCAAACAAACAAACAAACAAAAAAGATAATTTGAGTTTCCTAGCACACCCTTGGCTTGGCACGATGGTAAAATCTTAATTGTCCAAAAAAACTGTCCTCTTATGAATTAGTAGATAATACACTTCTGATGGGTTTAGTTCCCTTAACACCATTTTTTATCCTTGAATACTATTTTAAAAAACAAACAAACAAAAAACCACTCTGTTACTTAAGCTCATGAAGGATCGGAGGCTTTTTTTTAGCGTTGTGTGAAATCACATGAGCGATTTCATCTGGGTGAGTGTCTGTGGTACGTGTCAGTCGGTTGAAGCTCCGCCCATCTTTACTGCTCACGTCAGGGCAGAGTGTCTGGGGGAGGCTTCATCCACCAGAGCCTGCACCGTGATGGACACTTTGACCAGGCCTTTCTCCTCCAGGATGTGGTGAGGAAGACACAGTTTGTCCTGCAAGAGCAAAAGCAGGGAGAGAAAAAAACAGCAGGAGAGAAGAAAGAGAGCAAGAGAGAGAGGGAAGGAAGAAATGTGGGAGCAGAAGTAGAGACAGGAAAGAGACAAAGGCGGCACTGGGTTTAGTCAACACTTAAATCTAACGTCTGTTATTGCACGTATGTCTGCACATTCAATACGTGCAACTCTAGCTTCGTCTTAGCTTAGTGCTGCTTTTCTGTTGAGAGTTAGTTTAGAGTTTATAACGATGCAACACGTGATGTTAAGTTAACCGTCCATTACACTCAGACAGTTCAGTTGGAGCAGTCTGAAGCGTGGACTCAGTTTCTGACATCATTAGTCAATCCTAAGTCATTAGCTAATAACTTTGACAAGATGTTAATCAAAGAGCGCATGTTTTCATACCACAGATATATCCTCCAAGACTGAGATTTACTAAATAAACTTTAGTATTTTACCCAATATGAGTCATAATAAAAAAACACAAGAGAGGAAGGTGTATTCCTGAAATCTTCTAAAGGCCAGAAGTCTTTTTGCAACAACAGCTATCACCATCCGGTGGCCTTCTGATAGAATGCAGTTGTAATGCACTTCACCATTAGCTTTATTTTCCAACCATGAAGCTATGTCTCTTTCTTTTTTTTTTTTACTGCCCACCTGTGATGACACAGGCGCACAGCCTTGTTCAGAGCTACTGTGTGCTAGTGGCAGCCAGTAAGAAGAATGTTGGTTTAAAGGGAGTGGTATGAACTCAGGAGCTGCACCAAAGCCACTGTGGTATAATTAAGGATTGTTTTGAATTATAAATTATGCAAAGCTACCCTAACTAACTAGCATCAAACTAAAAGTATTGTAATTGTTATTGTAAATGAGCACAATGTGTCTGCCTTTGATACATCTGCAAGTCAAACGTCCCTGTTTGCAATATAATGTCCAAAATAAGGCCAGTTTTTTTAAATGTCACCTCTTCGTCCAATCTGATTGGTTGACACACTATGTGTGAGAAAAAAGAACTCTTGTAGAAAAGTGGCTTTATTCAGACATAAAAGCAGTGCATCAGTCTGCATATGGCTAAACCGGATGTAGGTCATGAAAAAAAAATGAACATGGAGATGACAGCTGACGTTGGTCCACTTTCTATTTTTTGTGATTTTATTGAATCTGTGTAGATCTGAATATGGTTGGGAATGAAATGAGCACATGAAACCTCCACATGTTAGACCTGAAAAGGTTTCAATATCAAATCCTAGTTGTACTCTGACCATTTCTTATTTCACATGGATGGACCTATGGCTGCCTAAACAATGACACCGAAGAGCAAAAAAAATCCCTAAACTGTATTTATTACTGATCTTTAACAAGTTCTAATATCATACACAGGTCATAAAAATAATCGTTCTTACATGAAATCTGTGCAGAGAATGTGGCATCGACAGCAAATCACATTTACTCTTCAAATCATTTCATGGAATTTGAACAAGCAGTAAACTACTTCAAATAATCACATTGTTCAAAAGCTTATCTGTTGTCCAGCTTCATGGCGATCATTCATACATAAAGATATTTACCATTTTCATACCATCACAACTATAAACTATAAATACTGGAGAAGACCTCTGTTCTCATTCACCCAGTGAGCTGTCAGGCATAGTTGTGTCTTTAAAGATTCAGTGGGCACATGTCCACATTCCTTTAGTTTTCAATTCAAACAGAACAGTCTGCAACTGCTCCATATACAGAAGACTAATATATAACTTATAAACTCATCGGGTTACTTTAGCCCTTCAAATATTCTCCAAAAACAGTCACATTGCATATCAGGGTGCAGCAGAGCTCAGTGATGTAACTTAAAATGTTCTCTCTGCAGGTGCCGGACAAACGTAAAAATAAATAAAATTCACATTTTCCTCAAGTTTCAAAACATCACACATCTCATAAATAGAGCTTTTAAATAATCCTTTAGGCAAACAAAGACATGAAAATACATCCAACTGGTTTTGAATAATCAACAAGTGAAATATGGCTTCCGTTTGCTTCAAGACTTTAGACGTCAGGAAAAGAGCAAATACTGTTTGTGTGGCTCTGTAATGGTGAGCGTCTCCGTACAGGAAACCTGTGCTTCTGTAGTTCACCCATTCTGATACTCGGGATCAATCATATTCAAGTCTGTAACTTCAGTCAGTCTAAAAAAGAAAACTCCAAAAGAGCAGGGGGCAGTCGGATAAAAGTTCACATATGATAAAACAGGACCTCAGCAGTACTGTAGCAGCCAGTTTGGAGGTCTGCAGTTTTTACATCCAAGTTAACACTTGACAAATCATCATGGCATCATTATTATCATTAACTGTAACACTCATTGTAGTGTGACATGCAGTAAAAATACAGCAGCGTGAGATTAGATGCCATTTAAGAAAACATGAAGATTAATTTAACTGAGATTTTGCCTGATTTTTATACAACACTATAAAATACAAATGAGCTCGTTGACTGGGTCGGTTTTCCCAGAGCCAGTCAGAACCAAGTTCAGCCCGTCTTAATACAGTGGCATTTTCTTTGTACACCACAGTGGTGCACAGAGGCAAAATTGTGTATCTGAAGTGCAGACTTCCGGCTTTAATTCAAGGTGTTTAACAAAAGTATTGCATTTTTACAGTCAACCACTTTCAGAGGCTCAAAAGTAAGTGGACAAACTTACACGATTTGAAATATAAAGATTGTTTTCAACAAATTGATGAAAATACTTTGCTGTCAATGACAAAGTCATTTATGGATATAAACAAATACCGTTATGCTCCAGCCCTGGATTCACAGCATTTGCTTGCTCGGTCTTTACTGTGGCCACCTTCATTTGGGTCTTTGTGTCTTCAGTTTCATCTTCAGTAACTGAAAAGCTGCTCTTCTCGGTTAAGATGACTGAGTTGAAGAATATCTAACTTCTTTGCCTTGAGAAAACGCTATGCTTTGTATCATTGTCAATTTCTACTGTGTTACGCTGTCTGATCAGTTTTGCTGCATTTGGCTGAATCTGACCAGAGTACAGCTCTGTACACTTCACGATTCATCCTACTTTTATCAGCAATCAAATCATCAACCATCAGTCATGGTGATCTTAAAGGTCGGTACCATAACACTCCCTCTGTGCTGTTTGACAGGTGGTTTTCTTTGGATCATGAGCCATTGCTCTTTTTTCCCCATCATTCTGATACTGTTGAACTTTGTTTCATTTGTCTAAAGGACTATTTGTCATAACTGTGCAGGCTCTTTTACATGTTTCTGACAAACTCTACCATGGGCTAACGGTTTCTAAGTGTAACCAGTGATTTGCTCCTTCTTGTTAGCCTTCTGTATTTCCATTCATGGAGATGTTCATTGATTGTACACCTGATACGCCCACCTCCTTAACCTTTATACTGTTAAGGTGAATTTTGAGCTGTTTTGACATTGCACAGCATTAAAAACTGATTGACTTCACCTAAAGTAACCCAGAACACAGTGAAATTAGAAGATTTTAAAATTTTATATTGTAAAGATGCTACAAATGTTTGCACATTCAGGCGTACTGAGACTGAGTCCCCAGTGTGGGACAAATATGGAATATGCCATGTCTGTGAGTATTTTTAATGTAAACTGGAGACAGAGTTCATGGGGGAACTATCACAGGTATCATGGTGACTGGTGAATTTGCCATGGAAGCGAAGGTAATGAAGTGCTTAGTGATTAGAAAAGTGCTACATGAAACCAAGTACATTACATTTGCACCTGCAGTGTAACAATAATCTACAAACAAATTATAATCTATTTATTATTTAACTGAAATAAAAGATCTAACTGAGAGAATATAAAGAGGGGCTGGTGGATGTTAAGATCAAAAGGGCACCCAAAGTGTCCCTGAGTGTGGGAAAGACGTGAAGTCCCACACACACAAGGTTTCCTATCACTGCTCTGAATGCACGCACTAGTTTTACTTTAAATGTTTTGTATTTATAGTTATGAGAATTTTTTAAAAGATATCGTTTTATAATAAATCCCAGTTCCTAGAAGTTCTTGCCATTTTCACTTTCAATAAAATACAACTGAATGATTACAGCCGTTATATTTTCGTGTCTTAGGTAAAACAGGTCTATAATCTGCCTAATCTGTCATGGAATACTGAAGGAGTAAACCTTACCTGGCTGTGAACAGTTTTTTAGTTTTACTATGCAATCACCACATATTAAGCCTCTGAGAAAGGGGATTTGTGTATAAAATATAATTTCTAAACAATTAATATAATAATTTCATTAAATTCTTTGAATTGCAGCTGAAAGTCTCCACTTTAATCACATCTTAATTGTCTGACCTCAAAACCTGACTGTGTCTTCCATATTTACAGACTACCATCATAATGTGAATGTGTTCTGTTCTGCTACTGTAGTGGAGTAGGTGGTGTTTGGAAGCTTACAAGACGGGGAAAGTTCTTTGGGGTATCAATTCCCACATTAACTTAAAGTAAATCATACACACAAGAAGCATCATCAGCTATTGTTAGCACAGGGACATTTTATTAACAGACCAAGAAGTAATTTGACTGAGGGTATGTAAACCACCACACCAGTGCAGGTTAAAAACCTGGTAAAGGCTTTTAAAGATGGTGAATGGCCTGTATTTGTATAGCGCTTTACTAGTCCTTAAGGACCCCAAAGCGCTTTACACACACAGTCACACACTGGTGATGGCAAGCTACATTGTAGCCACAGCCACCCTGACAGAGGCAAGGCTGCCGGACACTGGCGCCACCGGGCCCTCTGATCACCACCAGTAGGCAACAGGTGAAGTGTCTTGCCCAAGGACACAACGAGCAAGACTGTCCAAGCCGGGGCTCGAACCAGCAACCTTCCAATTACAAGGCAAACTCCCAACTCTTGAGCCACGATCGCCCGTGATGTAAAAGATGTAAAAAGAAAAAGCACTCCCATTTTAAGTTTGGCCCCACTTCAAGTTCATCTTCTTGTGCACCT